CGTGTGTAGCTTCCGCTCTTGTTCCTCGACAGTTGACTGGGAAAAGTTGGACTTTGCAGTGACTTGACGTATCTCTCTGCTGCAGTGGCTGTGGCACCGACGCCGCTGCAGTTGCTTTCTCGCGGCTGCGGCTTCAGTTCACCAATCGCTGCTTCTGCCGCCGCTGCAGCAGCTGCTACAGGATTGAATGAGTGCTGCGTCTTTTTCTGTTTATTTCCCCTTTCCGAGCTGCCCATACAGCCTACGTTGTGTGGAACTTCGCTCGACGCCTTCGCTGGGGCGATGGCGGGACCCTCGGTCGGCGTGGGCCACGTGCTATGCTGCATCTGTGGAGCTGTGACTCCCCCCCACCCGCGCAATAAGTGTTTGTCATGCCTCCAAGACGAAATTGACCTGAGCAGCAGAGTCTGCCGCACCTTCGTCGTAGACAGATGCAGACAGTGCGGCCGCTTCAAAGATAGCCAAGGCAAATGGCTGTATTGTGAGCTTGAGTCGCGGTAGGCGTATCTGCTCATAATCTCAGAGTACACGTCAACCTTAGCACACACACCAGCTGCTGCGTGGATGACTGGCTGTTTAGATGGGATTGTGTGACTTCTGCGTTTCCTTTTCTCCCCGCTGCTGCAGTGGCTCTGCCGACCGGCTGCTGCTTGGGCAAACGCAGCATGCAGTTTCCGTCTCTAGCCCTGTGCTGCCGCTGACTGCCTCCGAGCTGCTGTTAAATGTACACGCGCTGCTGCGCTTTATGCGTGTCGTGTTACGCGTGCCGTGCTGCCACTACTGCTGCGTTGGTCTCTGCTTTTGGTTACGGCTCTACTGCTGCTATTGCTACTTCTTTTGAGCTCAGGGAGCTACTAGCTCTTTGCCTTAAGCGAATTCGCGGCCTGAAAAGCCTCTCCCGCATATCGGACTGCCGTTGGCTCTACTCAGAGCCCCACAGCAACAAGTTGTTGCTGCGTCTCACCGCAAGAGCGGACGTGCTGGAGGGCAAGGCGGAGGTAGAGCAGTCATTCAATGTTTCGGGGCTAGTTCACAACATGCAATGCGACGAATGCAAGCAGGTCAGCAGCCCCAAGCAAGCGCACAAAGATCTCCAAGACTACACGGAATGTTCAGTGCTTGTCTCTACGCCGTCGCCGCCCTCCAGTTCGTTCTCTCTCTCTTAGCTTACTCAAACAGTTATATCAGGTTTTAGGAGAGACCCTGCGGACTAAGCGCGTGATGTATTTTGTACATTGTTGCATTGGGGAAAGCTGATGCTAGGGTTAGCTAGACTGACTGGATCCAAAGCTAAGGTTTCTTCTGCGCCTTAAGAGCTTAAAATTTCTGGGCTTTAGAACGAACATGGTCGCAGTGCTTAAAATATTAGCTACTAGGCAGTTGCGGGGATTTGGAAACTGAACGAGAGCTTAGGCGCTAGCATGGGTCAGCGGTGACATCGGCTCCTGCAGCATTTCGTTGGAAAGGAAGGCTGCACTTGAGACCTGTGTCTTTTGCGTTGCGCTTTCATTTGGTGTTGCTCCCTGCCATTTAGTGTTTCTTGCAGCACATCCATGTACTACTTTCCGTTTCTTTTCAGGCCTTCACGCCGCATGCAGGTTGGGGCGCGCGGGTGCAAGTGCGACAGCGCTGCGACCACAAGCGAACGTTTTTATTCTTGGAGCAGCTCCTGCTGCAGCAGCACAACTTGCTGCAGAAGCTCCTGAGGGTTGTACAGCGAAAAGATGGCCTGGATTTTTATTTCCCAAATAAACAAGCTGCAGCATCTTTTGTATCCTTCTGCAGCAGCAGGCTGCCGTGCAGCAGCCGTAGCAGCAAGCGGCTGATATCTCACGACTGCAACAGTAACACGTATATCTACAAGCACACGGTGTACGTGGAGCTACCTGCTATCTGCCGCGACGACTTAGTCTACATTCCCGCCAAGAAGGCCCAGGATTCCTTTGGGGGCTTTCCTTCGCTCTCGCTGTGCACAAGAGTCTCGTCCACACTGCACCTGACGGACCCTTTTTCTGGAAGGCACCTCGACATGGCTGCCGATGTCTATTTCAGGGATACATTTAAACCCATATGCACCCGCAAGCACCTCTCGCACTTCCTTATTCTTGCTGTTACACCACTGGAGCAAACGCAGCAGCAGCCACAGCAGAAGCAGCAGCATGGAAAAAGACACCAGAAGCAGCAGAACAAGCAGCAGCAGCGGCAGGAAGCTGCTGCGGGGGACGATGCGATGACAATCGACACAAATGCAGAAGCAGCAGGAGCGGGGACCGGGCGGACCCTTGACTCAGCGACGAAGAGCAGCAGCAGCGGCAGCAGCAGTTTGGTGGAGGTTGAGCTGCTGCGTTGTAGTGCCAGCGGCGTTCCTGAGGGGGAGCCGTTAACTACAGTGAGCCATTTGGGGGCCTTGCTGCACGCAGGAGACTTTGCTGCGGGCTACGACTTGCAGCGAATCAATTTGTCAGGTTTCGTGGACGACTGCTTAGATCGGGACCTACACTGGCCCAGCAGCAGCAGCAGCAGCAGCGGCTGTGAGCAGCAGGAAGGTCTCGCTGGGGCCCCTTGGCCTGTGATGCTTGTCAAGAGACATTACCCCTTCCGAAAGACGGGGAGGAGACAGTGGGTGTTGCGGACACTGCAGAAGCATGAAGAGGACGGCACGGGAATAGAGGAAGACGGGGAAGTCGTGGGGGCCCCTCAGGGGCCCGAGAGCAGCGCTGAGGGGGCTCCCCACAGAGTACACGGCATGCACAGCCGGAAGAAAAGAGGGGCGTCTCAGCGTCGTGGTGCTGCTGCGGCAGAAGATGAAGACATGGAGGAGTTCCGGAAGGACCTTGAGGAAGATGCAGAGCTGCGGAAGCAAGTGCTGTTGTACAAGGACCCGCGAATCAGCTACACCAAAGCGACAGGTGCGGCGAAGGTACGCGCCGGCAGCAGCAGCAGCAGCAGCAAACAGCAGCAGGGGCTGAAGCGACGGGAAGCCAACAAAGCGAGGAAACTGGCTGAGGCACACGACAGAGCGCGGCAGCAGCAGCAGCAAGAGCGGGAGGGGGATGAAGGAGACAGTGCCCAGTCCGACAGTGAGCAAGACGCAGGGTCAGGGCCTGTCATAGACATCAGTGAACTTCTGGAGGGTCTCTCTCTAGAAGATTTAGAGCCCGTACAACTGGGCCAGGGGAACCTTTCCCGTAGCGCAGACCAGGGGCCCCAACCCCCTAGTGACGAAGAGGACACTTTGTGAATTGCTCATTGAGCACCCGTAGCTAGCTCGCCAGCAGGCGAGATAAGCAATGTTGCACGGAGCTGAGCCGAGAAGGCCTTTTGCCAGGCCGTGCCCACAGTGGATTGGCTAGCGAGCGGAGTAGCTAGCTGCGTAGCTAGCTGGGCAGCTAGTTGACTAGCTCTACGGCGCCCTGGACGCTCACCACGGCACTTTTTTTTTCTTTCATGCGTTGCTAGCTGGCACTGGCGCAGAGATGCGTGTTAGGCAGCTAACTATGGAAGAAGCAGCTAGAGGGTCCCTGCGTAGCAAAGTGGGCCGACCACTTGGCAGTCCTTGTCTCGTTACTTTAGGGATGTAGATGGGGGGCAAATAAGCTCCAAGCTCAAGGTCGACGAATCTTCTGACGACGAGTCTTTCGGTTCCGACCATGCGTTCTGAAGCGCTGTCCGGCGGTTGACTCCCTGTGAGATGCTGGAACTAGTCGGCCCATTTTCGTTGTTGGGAACTGTGGTTGATTGTTAGACAGGCTGTTGTTAGTGTGGCTGTGAAGTAGTGCAGACCCAGTGGGCACCACCAGTAGGTGCACTTGTGTCGGTGAAACTCCCAGTCAGACAACAGAAACTGAGAGAAGGGTCGCATGCATTGCGTATACTGCTGAAAAATGACTTCGGGGCTGCTCTTGGTGGGTAGTGCTGCCGCAGCTGCAGCTCTGCACACAATCTCCATTCAATTGATACAGACTTCCACTTGGAGAATGTCTACTGGGCGTTTATTCTACTGTTGTGGGGAAAGGTTGGTTACCTCAGTCTAACTCAAGGTGTGGGTCTACTGCCATAGTGCTCCGTGGGGGCCCTTGCTGGCAGAACCGGGGACAGGCGAGACCAGGAACTGTCCAGTGGGGAGTCTCAAAAACACCGAGCCCCCTCCGTTTATTTTTATATTAAAAAAGAAGAAAATGGCTTTACGAGGAATCAGCTGAGGGATATAGAGCAGCAGTTTCGGGGGGGCCCCTGCCTACAGCTGGGGGCCGCGCAAGCCTCGTTGCACTTCTACAGATGTCTTAGGGTTTTTAGTCTCTAGAAACCGTGAAAATCACTTGGGACTACTTGCCAAAGATTTGGGGAGAAGAGCCCGGATCCGATTTTTGCGTTGGTGGATGTGACAATGCAGATAAAGTAAAAGCAGCTGGAGCGGCAGCGCTGGCACCAGCAGTATATACACTAGAAGCAACGACAACAACGGTAGAGTCCGCACAAGCGTCCGCGAGAATAGTACCACCAGAAGTCACACTTGGGGACATCTCCCCATGATATGCCCCAGCTTTAACCTGCTGCTGCTGCTGCCACCGCTGCTAGCGCTCAATAGCTTCACCTCCTCTCGAGCTTCCAACACTCTCCCACGTGGCCTCAGCCAGAGGGCTGCTTGGATCTGCTGCCCTCTTGAAGGCCTTCTCGGTGCTACTTCCGACCCTACACGCCAGCAAAAGCCTCCCCGAAGTGCCGCAGAAGGGACGACAGCAGCAGTACCAACAGCACTGTTTACACGGCAGAGAACTCGTCACAATGGACAGCCCAGACTATATGAGCCCCTTGCTGCTGCTTCAAGCAACACTGGCCTACCTAGAGACAGTAGCTTCGACAGCAGCAGGAGCAACATAGGCACGACAGACAAGGGGGTGTCCGCTGCAGCAAGTGCACGAGCCGCGCTGCAAACGCATCAAATATTCCCGTTTACAGAGATGGAGAGTACGCTGCTGCAGTGGTGGGAGTCCGAGAGTCTCTTCGAACCCATGAAACTGACAGAGGAAACAACACCAGAAAAGGCACAAGCAGCAGAGCCACGAAGAGCAGCAACAGAGAAGTGCGCGGAGGGCGTAAAGGTTTTTTGCATGGCCCCCCCCAACTTAACTGGATCGTTGCATGCGGGGCACTTCATGAGCTTGACTATTGAAGACGTTCTGTTCCGTTTTCAACGACAGAGGGAAGCGAGCGCGCACCCACCGCCGGAGCAGCAGCAGAAGCAGCAGAAGCAGCCGCAGCAGCGAGAGAGTGAAGAGAGGCAGCAGAAAAAAGGAGAGAAACCGTGGGATGCGACGCCACATGAGTGGATAAGGAAGCAGCAGCAGAAGCAGCAGTCGGAGCAGCAAGTGCTGCGGTCATTCTGGGTCCCCGGAGTGGACCACGCAGGGATGGGGCTGCAGCTTCTGCTTGAAAGGCACATAAGCAAAAGAATAAAAAAAGGCCTTTATGTCCCGCGCTGCTGCACCCGCTGTCTCCGCTCCATCGTCAGCAAGGCGTTCCTTGAGGGGCGGGGGTTGCAGCTGCATGGGCAGCAGTTGCGCATGAGGGAGCCGCAGCAAACGCGGGAAGTATCTTTAGAAGGACTTGGCAGTAACAGTTTGATGCAGGAATGCCGCGGCAGCAGCAGCAATGACTCCGGCAGATGCAGCTGCAGCACCCTTGAGTGCGAGCAGCATCTGGGTTTGCTGCAGCGTTGGCTGCGCATTTGTTGGACGCGCATCCAGCAGCAGCAGCGCAGCCTTGGCCTGGGCTGCTGGTGGGCGAGTGCGTGCTGCACTGTTTCTGCTGCTGCAGTCTCGCTGACTCGCCAAGCCTTTGTCTTGCTGCAGGAGAGGGGCCTCCTGAGGAGGCAGCTGCACCCTCTGCAGGCCCTCAGGGGAAAAGAAGAACACAGAAACTTCACAGTCGTTGTTCCCAACGAGCTCCTAGAAGTAAAGGAAACCCATCCCACTGACCAGCAGCAGCGGCAGCAGCAACAGCAGAAAAGCGGAGGAGGTGAAGAGTGTGAAGAAGAGCTGCTAACTTCTTTGCTGCAGGCTGCCAAGTGGGATGGAGGGTTGTTTGTGGAGTTGCCTATCAGGAATGGCTCGCCAGCCACCAACAGCAGCCATAGCAGCGGTGGCAACGGCAGCGACAACGACGCCTGCATTGTCACTAGGAGCAGCTGCAGCAAAGCTAGCAGTAGTCGCAGCAACAGTCCCAGGAGCGGCAGCAGCAACAGCGAAGGCTGCGATGGTACAGAAGAGCTGCAGCGTCTTCTGGTTCCCGTGGGATCTCTGCAAGACTTTCTTCAAGTGTGTGCTGTGGTAACAGACGACTCATCTATTTACCACCAGCTCAAAGGAAAACAGGCCTCTGTGCCGCTGCTGCAGCAAAGCGTACCTGTGTTGCTGCAGGAAAGAGGAGATAGAAAACATCCGCATGTGGCAGCAGCCAGTCAACACATATCACGCTGCGCGTGCAGTAGCTGCACCAAGAGCAACGTCAGTAGGAGCACCAAGTGCCACAGTACAAACTGCTGCAGCAGCAGCAGCCGGCTCAATAACGACAGGAGAGGCCTGCTTCCTGCGTTTGCTGCTCTTCAGTGGGAAGCCGTCCCAGGAAGAGCACAGCTGGCTACATGCGTCGCAGCAGCTCTTCGCCATGCTGTGGGGACGAGCCTACAGAAGCAGCAACAGCAGCAAGCTGCAAGAGAGAAAGCGCTGCTAGCTGTCTTATTGCTGACAGGGGGCGCGCAGGTACACCTAGGCAGGCAACAGCCGGGTGAATTGGTTTCCACTTTGAATGGGCAAGCGACAGTCACTAGGGCAAAGCCCCAGTGGTTCTTTGCTGCTGATCGCGTGGCTCCACGTGTTGTTCAACTCCTTTGCCCACCTCAGAACGGAACCTTGCAACCGCACGAGCAGCAGCTGCAGCAGGACGCACGCTTCACGAGCTCAACATGGTTACAAGGTCCTGGCACTGCCTTGCCCTTACCTCTTCCTCTAACCAGTGCGCCCAACACAGAAATCGAAAGCAGCAGCAGCAGGAGCGCCAGCAGCACGAACAACGGGAGCAGTAGCGCAACATACACGGACGTAAATGGGCTTGACGTAATCCCAGCACGGTATTTGCCGGAGCTGCTGCAGCAGCTGCAGTCAGACCGCACTTGGTGTATCAGCAGACAAGGTTGGTGGGGGGTTCCTGTCCCAGCGTACCTTGTTCGCCTCAAGAGCCAGCAGCAGCACCAGCACCTGCAGCAACAGCAGAAACAGGAAGTGCCTCTCTGTCAGCGAATTGTTGCAGCTGCAAGGGTCCTCGACCGCTGCCATTCGCAGGCAGCTCTGGGGATTTTAAAGGGCAAACATGGCTCTTCGTGCAGCCAAATAAGAGCGAAACTCTTCGAAGCATACTCAACTGCACTTCACGAACTGCAGCAAAGGCAGCAGCAGGAACAGCTGCAGCAAGAGTCGGGACTGCAAAGAACAGAGGGACTTGATGCAGCATCTGCTTCTCGTGCATCTTTGCCTCAGCTGGGACCCTGTTGCTGCTCACAAAAAGCAGGTCCACGAGCAGCAGGGGACGCATCGACAGGGAAGGAGTTCGCGGTGGCCGCACTCGACGAAGCCAGTGCGAGGCGCAAGGCTGTCGCTTTTATTCGGCAGCAACAGCGGCAGCAGCAAAAGCAGCACACGCAGCAGCACGTGCAGCAGGCGACAGAATTCGAAATCCTGGAGGACACAGACGTCCTGGACACGTGGTTCTCCTCCGGTTTATGGCCGCTCACATCCCTCGTCCAGGCGGAGGAGACATTTTTCAAACGCTATGGGGCAGCTACCTCCCGAAAACAGACTCAAGAGCAGCAGCAGCAGCCGCTAAAGCAGCAGCAGCGAGAGTATCCAAAAGTCCAGGAAAGCGGGCGCGCCTCCCATGTGGACAGCGCATTGTTTGATTATCAAGAGCCACAGCAGCGACTCCAGGAGGGTCTTGAGAACTCTTCTAGTTTTTTGTTCCCACGCCTTTACCCTTATTCATGTTTGGTGACTGGGCACGACATTCTTCCCTTTTGGGTGGCTCGACAGCTGCTCCTGTGTGTAGCCTTGTGCGGCGTGCTGCCTTTGTCAAGAGTGGTGCTGCATCCTCTCCTCACAGATATGCAGGGTCACAAACTTAGCAAGTCTAAAGGGAACGCTCCCAAGACGCAAATGGACCAGTGGATCACTCAATATGGGGCCGACGCCCTCAGGTTTGGCAGCACCTACACAGTCACTTGAATTTTCTCAAAATCACTTGGCACTGCTGCAGCAGAAAAACAGTTGCAGCGTATCTACTGCAAGGGCTCCATTACAAAGTGCTGCTGGGGCTCATCCCTGCGCGTTTGGATCTCTTTCCTTTTGTTTCCCGTCTCTGCTGCAGAATGTCTTTATTGGCTTGCTCTGGGGCCCGTCGACTGTCTTCGATTGACGCATGTAAAGTGCAGCGAGCATCAAGGGGCCTCACCAAGATATGGAATGGCGCCAGGTGACTCGGTGAACCCCTATTGGTGTTTCTCCTCTACTCTTAGGTTATTGCCTTCCGTTGTTGCCTCTTTTTCGGTTGTTCGTAGCAGCCCTTTATTGCGCCAACCTCGTGGCATTTGCTACTTTGGTTGTTTCTTGATGCTGCTCCTATTTTCGTGTGTTGCATATGCCGCGTGCTGCCACGGTCGCCTTCGTACTCCTATGCCTCGGTACGTCTTGGATAATTCGTAGCCGACAGCGTGTGCATGCCTCTACTTCTTGTTTGCTGCCTTTCGCTCCGAAGGTTGCTACAGCTGTTAAGGGGAAGACTGCAAGCTTGCGAGAGCTGCGCGACCGAAGCGTCGCACGGGCTGGGGTGTACCTCCACTTACTCAGCTCGACTTTCTCTGTCGCAGCGGTCTGCTCTCAGGTGCCTCGCTTTTCGGCACTTGAACGCACAACCTTTGTTCAGTATAACTGCTAACGTAGCTTCAGTCATGGCTGTTACTGCATGCGCGATTGATGCTATCGCAGCCATTCCCGTTGATAGCAGCTGGGAAACTCGCGCCGGCAGCGTGCTACAACGGTTGGTACTCACAGCAAAGCAATTTGCCTTCCGTTTTCGTGTTGTTGTATCCTGTATTCACTTTGCAGCAGCACTAGCCGGATGTGCGATGACGTTTACTCACATCTCCAAGGAGGGCACGTCGCTGCTGCTGCTGCGCGGTTTTGGGAGTTCTGGGAGGACTTGTCAGACTGGATTCTGCCTGCTGCTCAGACGGAAATGAAACTGGCTGACACGCTGTGTAAATCTTACCACGGCAGCTCAGAGCAACAGCAGCGGCAACGTATCCAGCAACAGCACCCACAAGAGGAAGAAGACAGATTGCGGGCGCGAGGGCGCCTGTGGCCAGCAGTGCTGGGGTGTATATATCACGACACTGTGCGGGCACTGCATCCATTTGCTCCGTTCATTTCTGAAGCGATCTACTTGGCGCTGTTTAGCATTGCCCCCAAATCTGAAGCTGGCGGCAGAGGCAGCGGCAAGAACAGCGGCTACCACAATAATGGACAGAGCACTGCTCCGGCAAACGCCTTTCAGCCACTGTTGTGCAGCGCCTGGCCGGCGGCAGGAGGTGAGATCCGGGGTGCACATGCTTTGCAACACAGCCACGGTGCTGTGCCGCTTTCTGTGTCAAGGATGCCGCGAACGTTTTCTCACAGGGGAGGCTCCCTCTGCATTTTCTTTAATTCGCCCCTGGGCTCTCTGCCTCCTTGTTTCCAACGTCTCGGCATTCGTCTCGTTTGGCACTAGTCTCTTTGGGTGCTCATCTGCAGTTGCTGAAATTGCTTACGATTTTAGGAGATGCTTTTCAGGGGCATATTTTGTTTGCAGCTTACAGGGATCCACAGGCAGAGACCGCCCTACAAGTGGTTCGCACTGTTGTTGCTTCCGTGAGACGGGCCAGGGCCATGCAAGAGGCCACCAAAAGGCCTCAGAAGCAGCAACAATCTGGGCAACAGCAGCCACAGCACGCAGGGGATGCCAGCTGCGCTGCCGGCGCAATACCAAACAAAGATGCCGGTGAGACGGGGGGCAGAGGGGGCTGCTCTGTCTCGGTGCGCTGCACTGATGAAACAATGCTGACATCCTTGAAGGAAGCCGTGCCGTTAATGGCCGGTCTTTGTGACCTTCCCTCCAGAAGTTTCTCCATCTCAGTCCTCGAGCACCAGCAGCTACATCAGGACCAGCAGCTGGAAAAAAAAGAAGATGATCTAATGCCACTTCGGCAACGTTCTTTCCTCTCCCGAGTCGTGATGCTGCCTGGAAGCAAAAGCAACTCTCGCGGGGACGGTGCTCTGCAGTTAGAGATCGCTGCCTCCTTTGAGGAAAGCGGTGGCAGCGGTCGTGTACCAAGTGAGCGCAGGACACACAAGGCTGCAGAAGGCAACTGCCGCCATCGGCTGTCGCTGCAGCGGAAGCTGCAGGACCTGCAACGACGCGTCACAGCACCTGAGTAAGCGTTTGTCTTGCTATGAATGAGCACTTTAACGTTTCCAGGAGCTACCGTACCAGCAACAGTAGCTCTGGAGCATCAAAGAACGGCACCTGTAGCTGCGCTAGCCTTGCCACTTTCGTCTGTGCTTTCCACTTTTCGGGGAGAACTCAGTGTTCTGCTGCGCATGCCGTAAAACGTCTGCTGCCACTACCGCTATTCCTGCCGCTACTGCTGCTGCTGCTCTTTTTTTTTCCTGCATTGGCTGCAGGTATGACAAACGCGCGCCCCTGTCCGTCAAGCAAAAGCTTCAGGCCCGGCTAGAAACACTACAGCAAGCCCTGGCAGCGCTTCAGCAGCGCTTCACACAATAAAAAGCCACTGCAGGCAGAAGGAGCGGCAAGCAGCGGCAAGAGCAGCAGCGTCATCCAGTTTCTCCAAAAGAAAACCGCTAAAGGGACAGGCAAATAGCAGTACCGCCAGCAGCGGAAGCCGAACTAGCTGGAACAGCAGCAACATCAGCCAGACCAGCAGGAGGCGCAAAAACAGAAACGCGTTTCAAATATTCAGATGTCATGCATGAGTTTATGGTTTCCTGCATTGAACGCTGTCGCCATGACAACAAGGGTTCCCAGCTGGGGTCGCTGCAGTTGCGGTCTTCGCTGAGCTGCGCTGCTTGCCACTAAAGCAGCTAGAGTACTGGCATGTCCGGAGTATAAAAGATGCATGAAAGAAAATAAGATGCCATCCTTGGGCCTATTTTCCTCAGCTCGTAATTGCTTCTGCTGCGCAGCTGCTGCAGCAGCAGTATTAACTTCTGCTGGCTTGGGAAGGGGCATGGAGACAACAAGACCCATGAAATCAAGCGCAAAGCAGACAACGGAAGGGGCTAGCGGAGCCTATGCCAATTGAGACCTACAGCTGTTACGTACGCAGTGAAGCAGGGGAATAGAGCACGATAAACACCAGAGAGTAGAGGGACGCTGGTGAATTACACGCAGACAAAGAAGACAAATGGAGATGGATGCCGCCGGAAGAGACGGTGACAGACACACGAACATGGTCACACGCATTCATATTACTTCTGTCGCGCCGCTGTAAGGCATCTTCATCTGCAAAGGTGCAAACTGCCGACGCAGCCGCAACAGTCGCTTTGTGTCAACATCCAACAAGACCTGCAAGGACAGCTCAAGCCGCATGCATGTGTAAGCTCTAAACATTTCTCGAAAAAAACACAGCACCTGAGCATTAACCGCAAACAAAAAGTCCCGTGCAAAGCAAAACAAACATGTAGGCGAGGGGCGCAGACAAGAAAGGAGAGCTCCAGCGGGGCTCCTATCTTTGCGCGGAGCACAAAAACCACACAAAAAGAGACAAAACTAAGGTCTAGAGGGCGCTTATGGCACTGCACAAGACAAAGAATGCAACACATTCTGCAAACTTGCAACGTGATGCCCGGAAGAGCTGATGATACCAAAAAAGGTCGAAGGAGAAGACTAAAGAAGCGAGGATAACACTGCATGGAGAAACGAAAGACAGCAGGGAGCGCAATGCCAGCAAATGCCAAAAGGCGCACCGTAGGCAAGGCTCTCTGAATATCTTGCGAGAAAGTCAAAGAAACGGCCGGTCCCAGTTGATGCACAACGTCACGCACCTGCGCACGCACCCGAACATCTACCCGCAACGCAATGCTAGTGTTTGTATTTGTGCTGTGCGCTTGTGTTGCCCTTCGTTTGTGTTGCCGCTGTGAGCTTGCTTGTGCCTCTGTGGCGTATGAACGGACTTTGATTTGCATGAGTATTCTCTGGGTGATAAGCTCCTTGTCTGTCTGTCTCCATATGTTGACACTCCCCACTACCACCATCGTCACGATCCGTAATTGCTGCAATAGGGGCAACAACCGCTCCGCTTTACGCATGCTGACTGCAGCAATAGCAGCAACGCCAGAAACAAAGAAACCTACAGATATATGCAGACAGTAGACGCCGAGCTCAGCATCTGCAGAGCGTGCACTACAGCGGCGCCAACAGCAGCTGCAACGGCAACCTAAAGAATGGGAGCAACAACTGTTCAATGCCGGCGCCTCACAGTAGTAGAGGATGGGCAGCACGACGACACCCGTTGCCATGGAAAGTACCAGCTCAAGCCAAGTGCTGCACATTGACAGAGCAGTTAAATTGAGTAAAAGCAAATGGAAAAGGAGAAGAACTTGAATGCACCGATGAACACGTGAACAGATGCACTTCGATTATTTAATGCCACTCGCTGTATCTACTTTAAATAGGTTAACTTGAGGAGAAAGTCCGCCCCGGGCTTTGGGAGCAATGAGTAAATGGAGTGAAGCGGAAATATAGGCTCACGGCGACAAATACCAGCACACAAGAGACAGACACCCAGAGAAATATAAACACAGTCAAACACAAAGGGGCAAGGCCATACAGCAAAAAAAAGAGAGAGAAAAAAGAGCTAAAGATTGGCACAGGCACACTCAGACACAAAAGAAGTTGGGGCAGAAACAGGGTGACGGAGGGGCGGGCGAAGGGAAAGACACTATGACAAAAAAAAATGTTGGCGACCAAGCTTTAGCAAGCTTTAGGGGGTATTACTTGAGGAAGAGGATGCCAAAGAGAAAGCCATAGATGAGATTGAAGAGAGGAACAAGCACTAGGAGCACCAGCACCTTGTAGCTCGCTACTACATCCGTGCCCTTCAGTTTGACGCGGCTCTCTCTCAAGGCCTGGAAGACACGAGCAAAACAACAAAAACCACAAACAACAGCTTTCGGTTTAATCTGAAATACTGCCACCGAGGGCGGCGCTTCTGTGACAAACGGAGATTTGGACACTCGTAAGACGAAGGTGGAGTTACGCAGAAACAGAAGCAAACAGACGTGAACAAACAAATAACGCCAAAAAATGCGGACAGATATAAAGATACGTACAGGCGTACAATACATGGGAAGCTGGGAAGGAGGAAGTCAGAAAGGTCAAAAAGCGACACGGGCGACGCAGCCGCTGGGAAAACAAATTCAACAAGCAACGCTGATTTAATGGCAGAATCCCACGTAGCCATGCATGTTTCTTTACCTTGCGTCTTTGTTTGTCTGCCAATACATTTGCTATCACGCGAAGAGGCGCCCAAAGAGGCAGCAGCGGTAAGCCCTGCAAATGTGCAGAGATGCACACATTCAGTCTGTTCACAAAGAGTCCGCCCCAAGGGAGACACAAGAGGGCGGAGAAGACATAAAAATTGCAACAAGCAAAGATACAGCTACGCACAAACGGCTGGAGGATGACCAGCGGGAGACAGAGACGAGAAACAGATGAAGACAAAACCACAGAAGCTGCAATCGACAAGACGGCGGCACAGGAAACGTGAGGAAGAGAGCCGGGCAGAAGAGCACCTGACGTAGGCAAACAACTTCATGAGGCCTCGAATGAGTGACATCAAGAACACTATGAGAAGCAACAACAAAGACGACGAGGAAACGGCACTCGAAAACACAAAGCAGAAAATTTCCGCAGTTGATTGTACAGGGCCCAGGAAAAAGGAACAACAGCAATGTGAATGGGGAAGAAATATCGTTCTGCGGGACTGAACGGAGGAGGAGGAACGAATGTTCGCGGCCGGAAGATGAAACCTCGAGCGATAACAGTTAAAAACACCTCACAATATGGAGGAACAAACACGCAAGTACGATAGATACACCGGGAACAACGCTAGATATCTAGCTAAAGAGGGAGCAAAACAGACAACAGGCTGTGGAAAAATGTGGCCAGGCACAGGCGGCGAAAGACCGGCAAAGCAGCCCAATGAACTTACGATGATGGCGCAGTAGACAATCGCCACAAGTGTCTCCGCAAGACACAAAGTGGCTCCTGAGGGGGACTGCTTCAAAAGCCAAACCTGACGATCGGCTAGTCGCCTCGTCTCTAAGGCCGATGCGTAATTAGACAGACTTTGCCGCAAGTCGAGTAAAACTGAAGAAAGAAGACAGACAGAGTACATGCTAAACAAATTTCGAGCAGCCATTCCTAAGCCTACAGCGATCACGTGCTCGGCAGATAGAGCGTCAAGTGGACAAACATGAAAATACACAGAAACAAGAGAAGCTTGCCCAGAAAGAGCGTGGCTACAGGAGACAGACGCCAAGACACAGAGTGGAAATAGACAGAACCATTAAGGGGAAAGACAGAAGAAAGGCGAAGGCGAAAACACGTAGGCAGTAAGACAGAAACAGTGAAGTGGAAAGACGGGGCAAGGCCAATACGATAGCATCAGACGGAATAAAGTTTGGAGGAAAAAAGCACAAAGGTAGGGAAAAAAATAGTCGGCAGAAGGCCTACGGGGGTCGTTAGCTGCTCTCCAGAATATTTTGCTGATGAGCTGCATCAACAAGAAGTAGCGCGCCTCAGCGAGACGTAGGCGCTCAGGAGGGTACAAGCTCTAAAGACAACAAGACAAAACCACATAATGTCATACAAATTTTAAGAATGACAGAAGGAAAGGCAACTGATAAATATCGAAAATGTAAAAAACGCGGTGATACGAACGGAAGACACTGAGCTCCACACATAAGCAATACGCAGATCACAGGAACAAAGCGATGCAGCCAGACAGAGCGAGGCCAAAAAGAAGCGGAGACAAGAGAATATAGGATAGATCCAGAAGGAACAGGAAAACAAAAGAAAAGCAAGAAGTTTGGCCAGCTGAGGCAAATAGGCAGGGGACACATGAGGACTCAAGGAATAAGGACGCCTGGAAAACAAAAACACCAGCTACTATGAAGCCAAACTTGAAGCGATAAAAAGGAAATAAATGCAATGTGCAAAGCGTCGTGGAGGGGAGTAGGGGAAGCTGAGGGAGGAGATGAGTGCTGCTTACTGCTGATAAACGTATTTGAGCCATTGCCTCATAGTCTTGAGCTGTTATGATACAGGACCGAAGTCCCTGCAAAGCACAGCAGCCATAAAAGACACAAAGATGCTATACACAAACGCTCCAAGTCAAGAAACGGGTTGCATTGCAGTTACAGATGCAGCACTTGCTGGTGTAGATAGTGTTCGCTGGCTGTGTGCACTGTGAAAGACAGGGTGACGAAAGACACGAAGAGTGGAGATGCGAGAAAGACAAAGGGAAAGGAGCCCAAGCGACTACAGCAAAGGCTGCAGGAGACGAAATGGAGAAAAAAACGGCAAAAGACAGAGCTCAGAGAGAGTCGGAGAAAGAACAAAGAGGTTACACAAATACGAAGACACAACGTAAAGGAAATGTGGGAGCTAGAACTACAACGGGCACGAAAGGAGCAGAGAACAAGAGCGGAGAGCGGAAAAAATAGCAGAGGAATGGCAAGGGAGAAAACTCAACCTCGGCAAAAGGCAGAGAAAGATAGGCTTGCGATGCGACGGAAGAAACGACGGCTCGAGAAGAGCCTGTGAGTAAGCAAAGGAGGAAGGCCTCACTCTCTCCACGTGGTTAAGGATCTTTGCTGTAGTACCCCGGCGGTCCACAGCGTAGTCAAGGGCCATTTCTCTGGTGACCTTTATGAAACAAAACAAGGCACACGCAGACATTTTAATAAGGCGGAAAAGTGCAAGCATGATGATCAGTGAGACTGAAGCGAGGACAGATTTGAAAGGAAAGAAAGCGAGAAAATGAACGGCCCCAGAGGCAGAATACGAACAACGGGTGGCAAGACTAGAGCAAATAATTATGGCGCAGCAGAAAATTAATGGAAGACGGCAAAAACTCATAGACGAGCGACACGCAAGGAGGCACAGAAACGGGACAGCGCAGCGAGCAAGGATGACAAAGAAACATAGGCACAAAAATGGTAGCGCAACACGCGATTAGAAAAACACTACAAGAAAGAGCGAAGGCCCCCAATGAGCTGGCTTTAGGTCAGTGACCGTAACTGACAGGCACGGGGTCGCCTATGTGGACGCTAGCCCTGGATTGCATCTTGTGGGGGTTGTGGTAAGTGAGGCCCACGGGGACAATCAACACCTCCTCAGCCCCGTGCTGCATTGCCGTCAGTGCCATAATGGCCACCCCCGCCTTCAGAGGTAACAGTGTCGTGCGGTCGTGGCTGCCTCCCTGCAAAAGACGAAGATCCAGAAGAAGCGGGCTGGGACAATGGCTGGTACGGTGGTGATGCAAAAAGGAGATATCCTAGAAGCGGAAGAATTGAGGGGAAAATTAGGAAGGAAACGCTTGTAAACGAACAGGAACAGAACACGAGAAACAACTGCTGAGAACACAAGGCGAGGCAGAATTTGGAGGTGAGCGAAGACCGAAACTCAGAAGTCAACACTTAGGAGATGCCGACATTAAAAAAAAGTGGAGGCGCAAATTCATCAAAATGAGAAGCCAAAAGGAACAAGGACAAATTGAGAGGGCGACAAAACCGTCGCTCAGTGCTCCTTGCCTCTGGAAAAATGCCGATGGTGTCTCCTTCCACCAAACTCGCTGTGACTGCCTCATAGACTTTTGACTGATCTATTCTTGGGGCTATCTGCGGAGCCAGCGGCAGCAGATGCAGCACCAGGCAAAGAACGTTGAACACGCAGCAGTGTCATACAAAGCAGCGAACAAGAAAGCGCATCATCGGCCACAGCAATTCTGCGCATCCTACTGTTTCTCTTTACACGATGGCATGAAAATGACAACTATTTCCGCCATGACTTGTCCTTTTACTTCAGCAGAAGCCTCAGATCCTGTCAAGTGAGACTTATCGTTCACACCGTTGGGTGTGCATGCATACTCTGTATTCCATTGGAGGCCCAAAGCCGTCCTCTCCATCTGCTTCCGCTGAAGCAACTGCAGCAGCAACTTCTGCTACCTGTGCCGCCTGCTCTGCCTCTGCCGCAGCGGCGGCTGCCGCCGCAACAGCAGCAGCGCCGGCAGAAGTGCCACATGATATCCCGTGAGAAGCTCTGGCGGCTGCTGCTGCTGCTGCTGCTGTTGAGGCAGCTTCGTGAGCTGCCATGTCCTTCGTCATGCGACTAGGGAAACGTCTTCTCAGGCCAGTATCCAGTTGCTGCTGGTGTTCGATGCTGTCTCTCCGCTTCTCCTGCTGCTGCTCGACCCGCCTGCTCCCAGAATCCAGCGCTGCCTGGGCTACGGCAGCAGCATACTCCGCTTCTGCCGCTGCATCTGCTGCAGCCGAAGCTTCAGCTGCAGCGGCAACTGCATCTGCTGCTAGTGCAGCAGCAACACGCGCGGCTGTTTCTGCTGCGGCGTCAGCTGCTGCAGCAGCATCCGCTGCATCTGCTGCAGCAGCAGCAATATCACTTTCATGAGTTTGCTGACGGTTATGGCTCTCAGGGGGCTCTGCCGCCGTCACTGAAGGTGATTCAGCTTGTGTTCCTTCACGTTGATGCGCTGGCTGCTGATCCAGCTGCACTTCTTCAATGGGGTCGTCCCCTTTTTTGGGTTTTGCTGCCTTTTCATCGACACGATGTCCGCTCCTCTCCAGAGGTCGTGCTGGCGTGACGGGCCCCATGGTTGCTGCTGCAACGGCTCCTGCTGTGGGTGAGGTAGCCGCAGCAGCATCCGCGTGTACTGCTGCGTCTCCCTCTCCGAAGCTGTGCTTGGCAGATGCATTTTGTACGCTCCACGAGTCGTTGCGGTGAAGGGAGGAGAAAGGGGGAAGCGGCTGTGGGTCTGGGGAAACCAACATCTCTGTGTCGCTGAAGACGGCCTTGACATGATACGCTCCTTTGCCTGTTAACAAGGTGTCTCCTGGCAACACTTCTTTCCTAAACTGAGACCCCACACCCCGAACAGAGGCTGACAGACTGCGACAAAGGGAGATCCCTGAGACACGAGCACCTGCAACAGAGTCGCTACTGCCCTTGCAGCCGCTGCTGATGGCACCGCTGCTATTGTTGACGCCACTGCCAATGGAGCTGCTGCCACGAGCGTTCCTATCGTCTTGTCCTGCATCCCGTTCCTCCCGCTCCCGCTCCCGCTGCTGCCCCTGCGGCCCCTGCTCCTCCTGGGGCTGCTGATGAACGCGCAGGCCAGAGTTTGTGGGTGTCTGGTGCTCCATGACTTGGATTAAGCCCGAGCCCTTGCGGCTCTCATCTTCTCCTCTGCGCACTCCTATACAGGCAGCCATGCGGGCAAGGCAGCCAACAACGCGACGCTTGAGGGATTTGGTAGCAATGAGGAAACGCACTTGGCGAGGTATTATGGAGACCAGCATCTGATAAAACGCACAAACAACAAACCTAATCCCTAAGTTCCGGGCTCTACGCAGCAAGCAAGATAACGGCGGTAATTACAGGAATGCTCCCCACACTAGAGCGCCAACACCATCACCACAAACAAGCCATAATACTCACATCGCTACAAAAGATAAACTGCGCGATGGAAGCGGTGACGAGGAGAAAGACACCGATAAATCACTCCATGAAAGCTCGGCGAACACATCGAGAAACTAGCAAATAAAGAACTTGTTCTCTGTCAACAAACCCTAATCCCAAAACAGCTAAGCCTAACTTCCATACACTCCTATCTGCAGAATCAACAGGTTATAAGCTTAACCTGTTATCTTTAAACCCTCAAAGAAGTATAAGGGAAAGTTGCTCACACATGCATCCAGAAATTGGTTGTTGTGGTTCCCGACGAAAATAACCTGAAACCATATTACAGAGGACCCAATCACCGCAGCAGCTGCATGAAACAGAATATGAATCAGGACACGGGCAGTGGAGAAATAGGTACAGACAACGACGCAGATAGATGGAGCGGTGAAAGATTTCAGACGCTGACAAGCCAAAAGAGACACACAGTCAGACATACAAAGGAAAGGGAGAAGCCCGAACAGAGAAAGACAGACACTGCGAGCGGAAAGGAGGGCGGAGAGACAAAGTGGAGCAAAGCATGCGCTGGTTGCCCTCTCCGGGCTTTTGGTCGGCTTACGGGACCGTAGAGAGGAATTCTTTCTTTGTAAATGACCGCAACCTCCTTAAAGAAGGAGCGAACAATGGCGACACATAGCCATTTGACAAGGAAGTACATTTTGCCGTAGTGCCTGAGTACTCTGATACCCAAGGTGAACACCGACAAGCCGAGCCCCAGACGTCTTGCCGGGACAATTTCAACTATGTGTCCAACCTAGTCGCGGTGTAAGAAACACTCGCCACTCCAGCTGCACCGCGCCAGAACGTGCTCTACAAGTATATTCATCTAGTCCATTCTAAGGAATTGGGCTTGCTGAATGCGGCTGGTGTGCCGCTTCTGCCCGTGATGCGGCTGCCGCTAATGACACGAAAGGCGCTTCCTGGTCATGGACAGCCGCACATCAGTTTACCGTTCTTTCACCGTGACGCTTGTGCTTCTCCAAATGCGCAAAGTTTGTTGCTGAGTTGCCACTGCTGCTAGTTTTGTCGCCCCAGTTCCAGTTGTTGTTGCTCGCACCTCACGGAAGCCCTGGAACATCTCAATTCAGAAATGCCAAAAAGGGCTGGAGGCTCGTGATTTTGACGTCTCGCCTGATGAGCGCAAGCTGCGGCTGCTCGGCAAGAGCAACAGCTGGCGGCAATGGCAGTACGCGGTCTGCTGTGCCTTCTGTCTTCCCCAGAGCTCCTTTGTTGCCTCCTTGGATTTGTCGATACTCAGTGGTTTAGCTAGAAGAATAATGAATAAAATGCCGAAGACAGACCGCTTACTGGTGGACGCACACGCTGGACCCCTCCGTGGTCGCGACAGGCCCCGCATGCCCTTTGCCCATAACCGATGTCGGTAGATGAATTATTGTCTTGCTTTTTTAAAGCCCTTTGTCTACCTTCGGCACGGCACTTAGAAGAAGGAGCACTCAGTGCATTTCTGCCACCAGCTTCGGTCACCAGGAATCCGTGCCACGGCTCCAAAGGATCAACGCTTCTCACTCAGGCATCAATTCATTGCTGGGTGTACTCCCGTAACATTACCAAATTTATATGCAGTTGATTCGAGAAGCAGAGAATAAAAGCAGAATACAGACAAACACGCCATTGTCAGCAACTCTGCCCCCACCCAGAACCTCCAAGCGAGCATAAATTGGAACTTAGTCAACTTCGGTGGAGATGGCACTGTGGAACAAATATGCTGGGACATTTCGGTGTCCTTGTGTTATTCTCCACAAACAGTTGTAATGAGGCTGATGGCCACTACTACGCAGTGCTTCGTTGGCTCTCACTCTACGTGGAACTTTACATGGCTGAGATATCCTGTCTACGGCTCCCGAGTTGAGTACCTTTCTCCTTGAAATTGAGCTTTTCCATCCTCGTCTTGCTGCGTAGAGTAAGACAACATATTTTTGGATATTCTTCCAAACTATCAGCCCCTGGTGGCCCCAGTGTAGTCGAGTATGGATGTCCTTCCGAGCCAGATGCTTGGGGTGCGAAATGTTGCTGGCATCGCCTAGCCGTGGATCGTGTGCTGCCCAGCGTAGCGAACTCCATAAATTTGGTTCTTTCCCGGATGCGTAGCTTCCAGGCGTCTCATCGTGGCATGAAGCAACCTACAGGGCCAGAAACTTGGGTACACCGAACGTTAACATCGTGCTGCCCTGCGCAGCAAACAATAAACTTGCCGCTTCCCCAAATGTGCAGCGTCTGTGAGCCTCAGCAAGATGTAGTCTACAGGATCAGAGACCCTATCCTCCTGTTGGGGCAGGCTAAATCGGAATTAGGAGTATACATAACACCGTTTCGACGGTAGCGCTGCCGATGGTTGTGCAAGAACGACTGCGCAGTCCAGAAAAACCTTAGTCTTGTGTCTCAGTGTCTAAACAATAATACAGTGACTAGGATAGCCGTAAATGACTGTCTAGCCCTTTTGAAGCCTAGCCCCGTATTCACTCCGTCCTGCATGCAATATCTCCGAGCTTTACACAGCTGACTGCTGATGAAGAAGTAACGCTGTCTGAAAACATCCCGGCCAGGAGTAGTTGACTAAGTCCAGCAAAGCACCCTGTTACGCTAGACCAGCTAATAAGGGCGCAACCCTATCTGCGATTTTTGACAACCGCACATCTGTAAAGCGCGTTCGAATGAAAAAACATGGAGCCGCATCCCTCCTTTTGCGTATAGATGTAAGCTCTGTCAACGCTACCTACCTGACACCTCTGCGTGCAGTATGCAGGTGATAGCAACAGACTAAACTTTTCGATTGAATGTATGGTTTAGGCACTCTGAGGGATCCGTCATTTCTATCTATTGCAGCAGCCACTTTGTTTATCTTTGTTCAATTGGCCTTATCCACCGACTTTTCGCACTTCATTCATTCATTCTAGCACCCTTGCTCGCTCGCCTTTTTGGCAAAAGAAATCCGCACCTGGGAAAATACATACGAGCACTTCTCTGAAGCTCCTCATCAACACTGAGAAAATATCATCATTGTGCTATGTAATTTTGATATTTGAAATCAAAGACGACGACTGTTTTAATCCATACAAAGGTACTCGACAGACTCACATGGCGTTCCGTGAACTGAAATGTCCAGCCTGACAAGCTAAGAAACCACGTCAATGGCATATGAGTAAAATCCTAGTGGATATGAGAAAATATTTGGCTTCTTTGTCGGCACTTTCACTGTTGGAAAGGCTTATCAACTGTACGCGTACACGACTAGCTCTGCAGTGCATAGTGTGCTGTATGAAACGATGCCTTTGGTCTTATATGTTGCATTCTGTGGCTTCTTGTGCTAGTCTGGATCTGTTTCTGTCCAGCATGCATTTCCAGGCTGGCCTGATTCGAAGGCGCGTGAAGCCAGATTCTATGGAAGCTAATTTTGATCTTTGCACTATTTCCTGCCGCAGCCGGCGATGCAGCCTTAACGTATGCAACGCTGTCCCGTTTGGTCGCCTTCCGCAGGCCTTATGAGGATTCCCAGTGAACCTGAAAACGCTCCGCACTTAACCAGTTGAAATACTTATATGAATCTTCGTGTAGGCCAAAGCCTTTACGGCAATTGCCGCATGTCATTAAGTCGCCATTTTTGCCTGCTCACTAAGCGCTCTTGACTGCCCAATATATTCATTGAATGCTGCGGAACAGGCTGGCAGGCTTGGATACTTGGCATTTTGATGTCAAATTTGGCCGTTTAGTACGCTTCCTTTGTTGTTTCCTGTATTTGCGTACATAGCTGAACACATCTCTGTAATCTGCGTTCGTCACATGGCGGAAATCCTAAATTGTTAAAGCGTGTAGTAAAATCTCTGCAGATGGCAAAGGCACTTTCAAGGAGCTTCGAAGAGAAAGGTGGCCAATTTATCTGAATTAAACAGAGAGGGAGACAACTAAGAAAGAGGAGGAACACATTCAGGATATTCCAAGAGGAAGAACTCATCCAGGAAATTCCAAGGATGAGGGAAGGACTCTTCACTTTTTTAGGGGTGGCGCTGTTTGTCGTGCCTCTGCGCAGTGTGTTGTGCTCCGCGCTTCGACAAAGGCAGTTAGATAATTTTGCGCATTATTTGGGGCTTTAGTGGAGACAGATAAGCCAAAAGCAACCAAGACGAAAGCATCAAGGAGGAGAACTGCGTGGCTTTGTTGCTATCCGATTTCGTCACAGTTCCTGCGCAAGTATCCTCCAGTCAGTAACCAGGTGACTCTATCCTTCACTGCGACGGACAGATGAAACCAGCTGGAAAATGTCCATATGCTTGAGAACACTCTTCGCAGTTCAAACAAGAGAGTAAACAGTGTATTATCTTGTAGCGGTGACCGTCCGTTCGGGAAGAGCAAGCTTGGCTGTGCAGAGAAGTCAAGGGCTTCGAGCAAATCCCCAACTCAAAGCTTTGTTTCGGCATCCCTTCCACTGTTTTCACCTAGCAGCATCGAAGCCACAAAACGCATGCTGCATGCAACAGTTCCATACAGTGCATTTGCTGCTGTCAATGGTCTTTCTATGTAGTGAACGAATGTGAATTGTCTAGCGAATATTTTTGTCCACCAAATATTTTCGTTTAGCGAAGACTTTTGTTTGGAATGAAGCATTGGAGAAAAGGAATCGCTCCAGTTTCTACCTGTTTCCCTATCTGTGAGGAGGGGCCGGCGTGGTCCAAAAGCTCAAGAACTGAAGGACATAGCGATTATGAAGCACAAAATCTCATGAAAGCGATTTTCTAGAGGCCAAGGAAGGTGACATTCTTTGACGAGGTACACACAATGAATGCATCTGTACTCAAACCCATGAGCCTGTCAATTTGCCCAGCCAGCTGCAATGCTGCCGTGCCTTAGAATTTCATTTATTTTCTCGTCTTCCAACTGGCAACTTTTGACAAAGAGGGCATAATATTTGCACCTTTGGGCATTATAGCAGGTACACGAGGTGCAAAACGCGCTAACAGTGTTCCACTGTCTGCGCACAGCTAGAAGATTCGACAGCTTTTTAATCCTCCTGAAACCAGTGAAGCAGGAGCAAGATAAGCACCTGCGGACCTGTTTCAATGTTCGAATTAGCCACGTTTGAATGATGGAATTAAGGAAAGCATGACTTCTAGGCATTCTCTGGTTCTACTACACAAGGGTTAGGCTTTTTCTCTTTGGTACTTCAGCTTACACCATCAATCGATGCTTTAACAATTGACTTAAGTGCTACAGCGATTGAAATGTGTACGAAATTTCAATGATTGTCCTCGAAATGGAGAGAAAAGGCAGCTCCTTCCTCCCCTATCTTTTTAATTAGCTGGCGTCTAGTTAATTATTAATATACGGCCTAGGGTTGGTGCTGCATTGCCATCATCATCTAGATTTTGCTGGTTCCCAGATTTCTTCATGCCAGGGGACAACGAAGCTTTTCTAAACGCATGAGTCTAAATGCAAAGATCTCAGTCCTTGCTTGAAGTAATCTATCGAGGTGAACTTACAAAATTTGCCCATAGTTTTAGTTGGCAGCAAAGCTGATCAACTGAGCGGTTGCCTTGTCGCAGCGTCCGGGATCATGCTCTCTACCCGGAGACGCCATTAGACAGCTTTATATGTGTAATATAAAGAGAATCTTAGGTACGGCTTTAAGGGGAAAAGTGAGATCCAGTTAATGCCTGCTGTGCCAACTTGTTTCTCACTTTTTGTAGCCTCTGGCATGCATAGTAGCCTTACGTTGGCCCGATTGCAGTCAGCTGCAAAGGCCAACGGTGGACTTCCCTAGCAGCCATTTAACTTGCTGGGAGGCGTCTTTTACCACAAGAGATAGGCTTCACTGGGGAAACGAATGCACGAGAAAAAAAAGAAATCAAGCACAAGGTAATGCAAAAGCGCAAAAATTAGGGTTTGAACAAGAGAGTAGTGTTGGTTCTTGAACTGGTGGAAGTACACCTAAAACGAACCTCCATTCAAGCGTCAGCAGGACACAGCAACGGAGGCAGGGAGCCCTTTTTCATCTAAAATTGTAATTAGATTGGTTAGAAACGCCGGAATTTGCGAGCATTTATCACGAAGCCTTAGCCATCCAGTAAAATGACTCGTTTTAGCTTGAATATGGGGGAATTGTACGTGGGGCCGATGATAATTCTAGAGTAAAGGGACTGGAGATCGCCTCCACTGGCTCAGTGCTCCGGCCAAAACCAGACCTCAAGGTGGGTAATATGATCTTAAGCAGCCATTATATAATTATCTAACTTAGATGGAGTCGAGTTTTATTGAAATTAAAGGAGGATGGATTGAAGGGAGTCTCGTTTTTACCTTGCTATTGCCCGTAACTGGCTACCAACTCCCATATCACCTCCTCCTATAAGGAACTTGTCACTTCCTTGCACCATTATGGTCCAATTTACTGCTTATTACAGCCTTACCTCTTTACCACTCTCTCTTTTGCAATATTTCACTGTGCATCACCCTTTATGACGGCCTCTCGAGTGCGCTGGTGGGTCAAACTTCTTGCTCTAAAATGACTGGAGCGATGCTCTCTGAGACGCTCTATTCTCCGGATAACATCTTAATTGAGTCAGCCCTGCCCTATTCTGGTACTCTGCGTAGCTCCAAGAATAATCAGCGGGAGGCAAAGGCACTTGCTGTCCGCGTTCTGTCCTCCCTGGTCCTCCTGAGCGCCCTTGCACTCCTTATTGCTCGCTGTGCCCTTCACATTAAGAATAAAAAACGTTCCGGAATCGCCTCCAGGAGGCTCTCTGACCAAGTAAGGCTCCTGCAATGTGCACGCCTTGACGGTAGGAGTTTTTCCTGTGCACGGGCAAATATTTGCATACTCTGTCCACTTCAGTTTTTCGAGCAACAAAGAATGTCTTTATAACATTTTGCTGTCACCAAGTTTCTCATATTATCGCAACGCGTCAATGCGCATCTTTCTGAATGAGCCGCCCTGCACTGGATATGTGCGTCTTTTCCTTCACTAGCACTCGCATTCTCAAGACTCGAATGAGCCTTCCACCTCTTCGTCGTCAAACGACTCGGAATTTCGTCTGCCGTCATATGAAGAAGCGTGCACCCAGCAGCATAATATTATTGATGATAATGAAGATGTAGGTGCACATGGCGAATGGGGAGGAGATCGCTTGCCCTCATATGAAGAAGCGTGCAGCGATTCACCTCCAGGTACCAGTGGCTGTGGGCAAACAAGAAATCAACGTGCGGCACTGAGGCCACCAGGACTGCCTTCATATGAAGAAGCATGCTGCAACTGCGTCCAGCGCATTGATAGACAAGTTGAGAGAGGCCAGAACGCGACAGCGGGAGCAAATAATGAGTCCACACAAAGGGCACCAAGGAGGAGAGGTACATTGAGAAAACTTTGGAAACAGGCACATCGTGCCCTCACTAGGACCTTCGCGGAGAGTCGCGGGAACCGTGAAAATAATCAGGGAGCCCAAGAGCGTGATCCACCGCGACGAGAGCGCTTCAGTTTTCCACGGCTAGGAGATGCATGGGTAATTCTTTCGCTCATGCTAAGAACTGGAGGCCGCAGATTGCTTTCACCGTTTCCTATTGTTTTCTTGTGGTCAGGTGCAGTGGAGAGGTACCGCTGCCCAAGCGCTACGCCTCGCAGCCAAAATTGGCGCATACACCTTTCATTGGAGTGGTGGATGTCTTGCACCGTTGTGCAGGCAACGACTTTCCTACAGCGTGTCGTACAATATCTCGAAGATATGCCGAGTGACATTGTTGTTCAAGGGTCAAGTGAGTTTTGCTCAGCACAGAGACTGCAGGTAATTTGTAAGCAACGGATATCCCTGTACAAGTAGCTAAAGCTTGTGAAACGTGCCGTCTTTCCGGTTGAAAGGTCCATCTTGAAGCACTTTTTGTGGCGCTCAATACTCTTTCTTCGTCGATTCCTGAAGTAAGAGAAACACGATGCCGCCACTGCTTAATTTATGTCAAGATAAGCTTCAGAACAAACACGATGAAGATGGCACCTGCAATGCTTGAGCAATGTGGATCCTCAGAGGAATTCGGTGCAGTAATGATGGGCTTACATTATACTGTTGTCATTCTCCAAGAAGTAAGGTTACCCTATTCAGGCTTTCCAGTGCGTAGGGATCTCAGTTTAATGAATCACGAAGCGGCGCGTTTCATGTGAGGTTCCTCGTGCCTGTTTGTATGTCTCTTTGTACAGCGTCCTCATGCAGGCTGGCCAGATGCGGGTGTACGTCCCATTCAGTGAAACATAACTGCGCGAATAATACAAGCTCTTCTGCTGCTACACTGCGCTCATTTTTTCCTTTCTCTGCAGGCTTGGAAACATACTCTTAGTCTCAACGGCTCAGCATTTCTGTTGTGCCCTTCGCAGGCCCTACAACAGTTTGCAGAATCTTTGGAGTCCTGCGTCCTTGGCGCAGCCGCATCACTAGTAGGGGATTGGTGTAAGGCAAATTACTTTAGATGAGAAGCTGATAGTTGCCCAGTGTCGCCAGCTCCCTCCCATATGTTGCATTTTTCCTTGCGCATGGCTCGTCGCGAAGCATGGCAGTTGCGGCAGGTGGATGCTTAGCCAACATCTTTGGAGTGTTTATGCATGTCCTGATTTTTGTGTGCACAGCACAGCGCCAATCTACGCGTACAATTGAAATCATGTCTAGCCGTGGAAGCGAATTACTTGGACGAACAGTAGTCACAATCACAGGCAAGCTGTTTTCACATGTTTCTGTTTATTTCCAACTCATCCAGTGCTGTTAACTTGAGAAACAGAAAATAGACGACGCTTTAGGCGAGGCGCAAACTAGAAGCACAGAAAGTAGGGGGGAGCATACAGGACGAGCTAGGCAAGATCTGGGAAGCCCTCCCCATGGAAACATTGGAATTTTACCTTTCCACGCCGAAATTCGTGAAGCTTCCCTCAACTGCCATTTTTCTGCAGCGCTACGCCCTCCTGCCTACACGGAAGGCTCCTAGAATTTTCTATACTTCATACGGAGCTCCGAATGAGACGTGGCAGCAAACCGAGCGGCAGGGAAAGACTTGTCCGGGAGGACTGTTTCCTTCGCGTGATGGGTTCTGCGTCAAAACTGTGGCGCTAGGAATCTACACTCTACAGCCTGATGGTGTAGGGCCTCCGCAGGTTTCGCAACGTGTAGGACATTAGTTCACCCGCTTGGAGTTCGGGTCCACTGGTTTGAAGGTGAATGCCCGAATTAAGCACTACGGGGGGAACTCCGAGTTTGCCTCGTTTGTTCTAGATGCAGTCTTTCTTGACGGGGTGTTGACCCCACATTGAAGAAAAAGGGACCACTGAACGTAACGGCAAAGTGAGCTTTTAGCTTATGCTGCCACAAGTTTTTTCTGAAGAGAGTTTGCATTTGACCTCACCGCACACTTTGGTGGTTCCGGCACTGGTTTTCTTGAGATTACTCATCCTTTGTGTCATGAAGACTGACCGTAGCCTTCAGTGGCATCTATAGTGCACTCTAGAGGCTTTAAAACAAGCATTATCAAGCTTGGGTCGCTGTACTCGTCCACGAGCCCAAACCAGCAACAAGCATCCAAGGAGTGTGGCCTGTAGCACAATGCGCTCAAGTCCCACAGTGTGCTCAGGTTAGGCCACGAGGCTCTGTAGTGTCCAAATGACGCCTTCCGTGATTATTATGCACTTGAAGAGGACACATATTTAAGACGAGGATTGAACAGAAGGTAAGGATGAACAATTGGGCACAACACAAGCGCAACTTATCCGCTTAAAGGAAAACTATGGCTAGTGAAATTGCCTAACAGCAGAAATAGAACGATGAAGCGCGTTCAAGATACAGTGGAGAGTTACCCATTTTGGAACAGAACGCTCAATCTTAGGTCTAGCCCCAGAAGGAGTACTGAACCGCCAATATATGCATACTCAACATTCACAAAATTTCCTGATACATGAAAACAAACGACTTGATGTGAATCAATGCTTACTTGGAAAACCGCAAGATACTTTGAAGCTGCAAAGAGTCTCAGCTATCCCGATAGTCTCAGTGCATTTCCCACTCCTCAAATTGGAAATATTTAGTCAGACAAGGGCATAGTGCTCTGTATGTAAGGTGAGCTGCCATATACTGCTATTGGAAGGCCTAAACAGGGGGAAGAATCCGCAGCGTAGACCATTCATCAGAACACAGTCGGCATGCCTTGTGCACTGGACAAAATTGTAGGCAGTGACAAGCAACAAAGTACGTATTCATTGCAGCGAGAATTTATGATTCATTAGTTGTAAGACCCGAGTCAGAAGAAGCGCAGTAGGCCTTCCCTTCGAACACATTGTGCGTCCTTCCTGGCCTGGCACATCGAGGCTGTGCCAGTCAGTGACCAAACTCTACTGGTACGTCTGCAATCAAGGGAAGACGTGGTGTAAGCAGTTAAAGGGCACTTCAGCTGTTTACTTTAGTTTTCGCCTAAAAAGGTTCGTATTAGTCGCTAGGTATGGCTTGTTCCAATGTTCCGTGGAAGACCGTCCGGCGAGCTCGCCTGTCACTTGAGCTGGCCATGACCCCTGGAACGAAGCGCTAATTTCCGGGCAGTTCAGTGAGAGCAGCCCTAAATTCGATCAATGTCTTCTGCTTGTTCGGTAATGGTCTAGTTTCGGACAATGTCTCTTCGAACTGCTTGTTGGCCGCAGAGTCTCAGTTGTGATTTTTGTGCATCAAGAGCCCAGTAACCCCACAGTCATCGACTCGCTCAAATGCCTCCGCTCTCCTTCACGAAATTAACTCCGCTGCGTTTTTAATGTAGTCTTGTCTCCCTGTGCTATTTGTTTTTGTACCGGTCCTCCCCTCCACATTCTGCGCAGCTCTTCTCCGGCCAGGTTTGCGACGTGCGTGTTTTACCATGTCTGCAATGATGTTTTCTGAAGAACAGGAGGTACCTGAAGGGATTGCAGCCCATTTGGCCTTGTACGGCTCTACTTGGCTGCATAGCCCACGTAAGGTTCAACGAGCTGAGCGATCCCTGGAGAAAAAATTTGACCTATTCGCGACCCTTGTTGTGGTGAGTGCCCTTGTAGTCCTCCTTGCTCACTGCGCATTTCATCTCGAGAAAATTCGACATTCGGGTTCTCCATTCAGAAGACTTTCTTACAAGGTGAGGCTGTGAACTCTTGCATGCAGTAGCTTGCACTACTTGTGCAAGCATTAATCTATGCACAGATGTTGTATCCCTTGCAGTGTCTCGAGCCAGGGAAGGGGCCCATCCAATAATTTTAGTGCTGTTTGCATCTTAGGGGAGAACGCCGATGTGATCTTCAAGTACACAGTGAAGGGTCTAAGCATTATACTAGGACGCCGAATGCATCTTTTTCCGCTGCGCAGTGTGAGCTTCTCACAACTGCACCGCCTAGCAGTATCTGTTCTTTTTTCCCTCTACGCGATTTCAGCGTCCAGGTCTGCTCCACAATTCCCTACGCCGTTCGAGTTCGAGAAAGAATCGATATGATTTTACTCATGTGCATAGTGGAGACTGTGGGCACTACACCCCTAGGCCAGATGGGGCTCACTGGTTTCCAACAAGCCAGAAAAGCGTGGAAGGAGGAGAGAGCATGCCAGAGGCAAGTGATGGCTCTACTGGAACCCTATCCAGGATGCTACAGGGATTAAGAACGACCCTTTCAATCGCAGGACTCGCAGTTATGTCTGCCTTTCAAGAGAGTCCCAAGAATCCTGTCGAGTCGACCTACTGCTTTCCAAACGTCTACGACAATCGAGTACTACACTTACACCTTTTGATGACGAAAAGCAGTTCTTGTGCATTTGCTGCGTTAGCTCGCTGCCCAAATGGACCGATCAAGGACCTTCGATGGTGCACAGCACGCCCAGTCCCTAGACTATGTACAAAAGCTAAAATACTGTACAGGTCTTCTCTTGCCTGCAAACCGACACAGCCTCGGGAAACTTTTATTTGAGGGTTCGTGCAGCTTCTGTACATGGCATGTGATGAATATTGCGAAGTGAGATTCACACATAGCAGGTGCTGTGGGTGTTGTGTAAATAGTACTTCCGTTGCACAAGTCTTCCCTAATGAAGAAGCCCCTTTTGTGCCCTTTACATTTTTACCGGGCTGATTGAAATACGGACTTAGGATCTGAGTAAAATTGCACACTCGTTGAGTGCCTTGTTAATGATACTATGCAAGAACATGAAACTGCGGAGTGAGGCAGTGACAACGCAGACAACTTGGCTACTAATGTAGCTTTGGCTCTTCCTTTGCAATGTGCGATCTACAGAACACTTCCAGACAATAATATTTAACTTCTTCGTCAAAATTGTCATCGTCAACGAAGTAGGTTTATTGAACGCGTACACGGCTAGTTCTGCAGTGCATAGTGCGTACTACGAAACGATGCCTTTGGTGCTGCGTGCTGCTCTCCATTCTGTGACACTTTGTACTTGTTTGAATCTGTCCCTGTACGGCAAGCATTTCCAGGCTGGACTGATTCAGAAGTACGTGGGATGAATTTTATAAACGGCACTCGTGCTCCCTGTACTAGCTCCTGCCGCACCTGATGGTACCCCGTAAACCCTTCCAATTCTACCCCGCTGTTGCACTATCCGCAGACCATACGGAAATTTGCAATGGCATTGGAATTGATTCTCATTCAATCAGCTCAAATACTACTAAAATATTCGTGTAAGCCGAAACCCTTACAGCAGTTGCCAAGTACCATTAAGCGGCTACGCTTTTCCTGCGCCTGCTTAAGCCCTCTTGACTGCCTAATACATTCACTAAGTGCTGCGGAACAGGCAGGCGTCAAAGCATGTCTGGCTTTTTGATGTTTGATTTCGCTGTTCAAAAGGTTTGCTGGGTTGCTTTGTGTCTGCGTGGATAGCTGAATACATCCACCAGTCTACAGTTGAAGTTAGTGGCTCCGCTGATAACGATGAAAGTTGTCACCTAAAAGTTCGCGTGTCCAGTAAGTTCTCTGCACGTGCGAAAAGCACTTTCAAGAAGGAGCATAAAAATACCGGGCCGTTAGGCTCTTTGAATAAGACAGAGACCGAAGCAGCTCAAAAAGAGACAACAACCATGCAGGAAATGGCACGAAGGACAGGAAGAAAAGTCACTTTGTTTCGCCCATACACTGACGCTACTTGCTGTGCCAAAATCTCCCGCAATTTTTTCAATTGCCGCCTTTGTGCAGTGCTCCGTGCTCCTCGCCTTGAGGAAGGCAGGTAGATGATTTAGCGCTCTCTGAAGCTTCAACGAAGACAAATGAGCAAAATATCGGAGAGGGAAGCAACAATCAGGAAGAGTACACAGTCTAGTTGCTGGTTGATTTCGCCAGAATTCCGGCGGATGTCTTTTCCAGTTGGTCTCACAAGGCGACCTCACCCGACACCCCGAAGCACTTGCGAGTAGTTAGCAAATGCGCAGGCAACTTTTGGCTCCCCTTCATGCAGTTCAAACACGAAACTAAACAATGCATTGCCTGAAAGCGGTAATAAGTCCGACCGGTCAGACAGAGTTTGGCAGTGCAGTGAGTGCAAGAGCTTCGCGAAAAACATTTTCGCGGCATGCCTTTTACTATGTGCAGCTTATGGCACTGACGCCACAAAGCGCGTTCAGCACGCAGCAGCTCCCTACAGTGATTTTGTTGCTGCTGATGGAGCTGTCGTTGCTCACCTGCTATTACAAGCGAGCAGCCGAGTTACTTCAGAACAATCTTTCCTGCTTAAGAACCATCCATCAACGTGCTCATTTCTTTTTCGACATCGCAGTTCTTTGGCACTGTGCGCATAGCCTGTTACCTTGCCAGGCGGTCGAGAGTTTCTGTGAAACCCAGTACACCACTTCACTAGCACTTAGGGCTTCCGCTTAGTCAGCAGACTACATGCGAGTGTTGTAATTCTATGCATTCCTACCATCTGCTTTGGCTTCGGTTGCTTCGTTTTCATTGATGCATTAAATCCTTCTCATCTGTGCTGCTTAACTGCGTGCTCTTGGAGTATACTAAAGTGAAGACTACTTTCATGAGAAGCCAGCGCTTTCTCCGTCTCTTTTCTGAGAAGTGACGCGAATGTGATTTGTTTGCTATTTGCCGTTTTACGCTTTGAATGAAATCTTCTGGCATATGATTCGCCTCCGCGCTTTTCCGCCGTTGAGGCCGGTTCGCTATGGAGCAGAGGTCAAGAAATACTTCCTACAGAAGTAGATGAGAGTGGATAGGAAACACAGATTTCCCTGGAAGTGGCTCTCTACGGGCCAAGGAAGGCAGCACTCTTTAACGAGCTCCACAATAAGAATGTGCCGTACCTAAATTCGTGAGCTAGTTTCTGCTTGTTGTTGTTTCATGCAGCCAGCTTCAATGCTGAAACGCCTTTAGATTGCAGTTGTCTACTCGTTTTTCGAGTGGCAAAGCTCCAAAGAGGGCATGGTCTGTGGATCATGGGCTACTAGGGAGCTACGAGCTGCCAAACGCGCTAAATTTCTTAAATGCTGGTGCAGTTAAGTTTTGTGTCCTCCTCAAACGAATGAAGCGCAGAGCAACATGAGCAACCGTGGGCCTATTACAATGCTTTCTGTAACAAAATTTCACTATTATGCTGGACAACCGTCTCTAGGCTCTACCAAGCAAATTCTAGGCTCTCTCCCTTCGATGCCTTTAGCTTACACCCCCAGCCACTGGTACAATTTGAGTAAAATGCACAGCGGTTGAAGATGTAAGGTACAATTTGAGTAAAATGCACAGCGGTTGAAGATGTAAGGCACAATTTGAGTAAAATGCACAGCGGTTGAAGATGTAAACAAAGAAAGCACCTTATCTGGAAATAGAGAGAAAGGTAACTCCTTGCCTCGTCTTTTCAACGTAAAGTTGGCCTCCCATCAATCATTAATCTATGTTGTCTACGGTGTTGACGCTATCTCGAATTCATTATGTAGATTGTGCTGGTGACCAGATTGCTTCATGCAGGGGACTCACGAAACACTTCGAAACACTCAAGTCCAAATGCATGAGCTGCTGTTTCCGCAGAAACATCGATTGAGGTTTCATTCATCCAGCTAATGAGAATCAGTCTCTGTGCATCCGAACCTGATTCAGGTTCCTCGAATTAAAGTGCCATGCATCCAGAATGTAAAGTATTATAAGCAGCTAAGCTGGTTTAATTAAAAGTATTTTTGTGTCAGACAGAGGCCATGCAATGGCGGAATGTTGGGGAGGAAGTTGCCGAAGACTGGTGCTCCAAAGGCTCAACTTTATTTAGAGACACAAGCGTGGCATGCTGCCACCTGCTTTCGCCGCCCGTTGGAGTTCATTGAGGTTGCTATGTTTAGATTTGGCGAAAATGACGTCTGAAGGCCGGTGTAATTTAGACCTGATGCCCTTCACGCAACTCAACTAAGCCGTCAGGGGCCGTTTCGCCGTCGCTCTTAAAACCAATTCTTCGATGTGTTACGGCTTTAATGAGCCTAGCTGCGTTCTGTAGAGCGTTTGCCGACCAAGCAGAAGCTGTGGCGATGACGTCAAAGGTCAGCACCTCCAGCAAACACTTCTACTATTAGCCTGCCAGGATCCTATATATCCGATCACTTCCTAGAAGAACCGCTAGGCGCGAGTTGAGGCCGACGTACGTACGGAGTGAGTACATCGAGGATAGAATTTTGCTGTGTAATGGTGCACAGAACTTGAAAAATAGGTCCAAAAATTTCAGACCCCCATGCTTGTTTTATTAGACGGGAAAAGCAATCATGAATACGTTTTGGACCAAACAACGGAAGCACCCGGAACAGTGCACGGGCTACGTCAGAATAAACGTCTCCCCCTTTGCGGAATGGGATCGAAAATTGTCCAGAAGAGGAAGTGGCGACGCAGGCCTGAGTCACAAGTGTCCTAGAACCAACCATTCATATGCAAAGCCAGAACCCTTAAACCCGCACACGGCAGACCTAACCTTGTAACAAGGCGCAATTGTGGTTTCTAGGCTCTAAAAGTTATGCTTTGATTACGAAAAGGCGAGCCAATGCGCAAAAGCCTCTAATGGAGCAGACAAATAAGTCGAGTGGCGGAAACTCGCGCGGGCATTTTCGCGTCCCACTGAATAGCGCATTCAATGAATGAAGTACTATACTAAAATAAATTTTAAAATCTTTCCACAATTTCAATTAAAGAAAACGCTCATCAATGGAGCTTTAACCTAGTCGTAGCAAGTGAAGGTCACGCTTCCCGCTCGAATGCAGCGTAGAAGAGAGAGATCTGATGTTGGGAGCTGCTCCTGCATAAACGGTGATGCCTTCTTGGCTTTTTTGTTGCATCAATCTGTTTCGCACTTTTGTGGTCTTTTGCAAGCACAAGAACCTAGCAATAGCGGCAGTGCATTTGTCTGCAAGGGCCAACAACGTGGTGCCGGCCAGTTTCGACGAGGCGAGTTTAACGTGAAGCTAGCAAGGTTTTGTCGGGGGACCTGGGGACAGAAGCCAAACAAGGAGAGAAATTAATAACAGATGATATATAGAGAACGGCAAAGTGTTTGGGAGGGTGTTAGGACCGGAGACTCAGGCTTGTTAGTGATGGCGTGAAAAGATCTGCAGATGTCAACAGTTCCTCTAAGAGCCGGCAGGACACGGCACCACAAGCAAAAGGACAATTTTTAACTAATGTGTCAGCTAGATGAGCCTAGCAGTTTTACTGATACGACATTGTTAACGCGAAAAGCTCGGCCATGGTGTAAGGTGACTCGTCATCGCTTATACGTGGGGCCGCTACTAGTTCTGCACCCAAGGCCCTTCACATCGCATCCCTTGGCTCAGAGCAGTGGCAAAAAGCAGACCTTTCGGGAGAAAGCACCATATTTAGGGGCTATTATTTTGTTATCAGCTAGTTCGGATAACGCCAAGCCTCATGCAAATGAGACGCCGGCTGAAACGAACTTGTTGACAGCTAATGCGCGTGAACGGCTTGCAGTAGTCACGAGATCGTCTGGGTCAACAAATGTCTGCTCATTTCCTCGAACCTTTGTGATCTAATTCATTGTCCACAAAAACAGTATTTCTTTACAGCCCTCATATCTACAATATTTCATTGCGCGTCAACATATATGGGGGTCTCCGCAGCGGGCTGGCGGGTCAACCTGCTTGTTGCAAAATGACTTCAGTGATGCACTCTGACCTGCCCTATGTTTCGGAAAGAAACTCGCATGAATTGGTACTCCCAAATTGGGGTTCGCTGCGGAGAGCCAGAAAGAATCAGCCGAAGGCAAGAACACTGAAGCAGACCTTTGGTTCGCCATCTTCGCTACTGCTCCTCAGCGCTCTCATATTCCTTGTTGCTCAGTGCGCGCTTTACCTTAAAAGCTATAGATACTCAGGCGATTCTTCCAGGAGGCTCTCTGACCGGGTGAAGCCTTTGCAAAGTGCACACCTCGACGGTAGAAAGCCTGCAGGCAAAGATTTGCACTTTCTGCCCCTGGCAGTTTTTAGGGCAACAAAACAGCTAAATAATTGTGCTCGACACCGTCTTTACCACATTCCATGTATTATCACAGCAGGCCAGTGTGCGTCTTGCAATTGAGTCGACTTGCAGCGGATGTGTGTGCTTTTCCTTTTGCTAGCGCTCGCATCGTTCACCTGCCACCTCTTCGTCGACGAGAGATCGGGGTTTTCAGTTGCCGCCATATGAAGGTGCATGCAGCCATCAGAGCCAGAGCAGCAATGGCACTGAGGAAAGTGTAGAAGGTGGACTTCAGTCACCGGTAGCAGATGGCTTGCCCACGTATGATGAAGCGTGCCGCAGTCCACCCCAAGGCAGCAATAGTTTCGTACAAAGCCCAAGAAGTCAAAATCCAGCAGGGGGACCAGATGCGCCTCCTTCATACGAAGAAGCATGCGGCAGTGGAGTCCGAAGCAACGGTGGAAATACACAAAGCTGGAGAAGCCCGTATGCAGCAGTCGGGACAGTAGCATTGCCTTCATATGAAGAGGCCTGCGGCAATCAGGCTCCAAGCAACGACGGAAATGACCAGAGCGGAGGAAACCGTGGCGCAGTAGCAGAAGGAGGTAGTGCGGCCTCCGACAATGCATCAGCGGTTAGAGGCAGCCTGCGAACAGCGCTTTCAACCGCGTGGAGCAATCTTGCTTCAATTGTCTCAGAGACCCGTGGGAGGCGTAGGAATAGCTCGCGACGCCGAAGGCGTGGTTCACGCTACTACAACTTTCCACAGCTGTGCGATGAACCGGTACTTCTTTCGCTCAGGCTGTGAACTGGCGGCCGCAGATTGTTTTTGTCGTTTCCTATTGTCTTCTTGTGATCAGGAGAGGTGGACAGGTACCGCTGTCCGACTGCTGCATCTTACGTCCAATGTCGGCGCATGAACCTTTCATTAGAGTTGTGGCTGGCTTGCTTCGGTGTGCAGGCAAGGCATGTCCTAGAGAGTCTCATGGACTATGTCGAAGGTCTGTCGGCTGACATGTCTATGGAAGAGCCAAGTGAGTTTTGCTCAGCACAGAGACTGCAGGTAATTTGTAAACAACGGATATCCGTATACAAATAGCTAAGGATTGTGAAACGTGCCGTCTTTCCGGTTGAAAGGTCCATCTTGAAGCACTTCTTGTAGCACTCAATACTCTTTCTTTGTCGATTCCGGAAGTAAGAGAAACACGATGCCGCCACTGCTTAATTAATGTGAAGATAAGCTTCAGAACCAACATGATGAAGATGCCGCCTGCAATGCTTGAGCAATGTGGATCCTCAGAGGAATTCGGTACAGTACTAATGGGCATGTATTTTTCTTTTACCATTTCCCAAGAGGTAGGACGACCGTATTCAGGTTTTCCAGTGCGTAGGGATCCCAGTTTAATGAATTACGAAGCGGCGCGTTTCATGTGAGGTTCCTCGTGCCTGTTTGTATGTCTGTTTGTACAGCGTCCTCATTCAAGCTGGCCAAATGCAGGTGTACGTTTCACTCAATGAAACAAAATTACACGAATAAGGCAAATCCCTCTGCTATTACACTGTCATCACTCCTTCCTTTCCCATTCTTATCCCTTCCCCTCCGCCCTCTTGGAAGCATACTCTTAGTCTCAACGGCTCAGCATTTCTGTTCTACCCTTCGCAGGCCTTAGAACGGTTTGGACGGACTTTGGAGTCCTCCATCCTTGGCTCAGCCGCTACACTATTAGAAGATGATTGTAAGGCAAACTACTTTTGACAAGAAGCTGACAGTTATCCAGCAGTTTCCTCCCTGCATCTTCCCATGTGCATGGCTCGCCGTGAAGCATGGCTGCCAGTAGATGCTTATCTAATCCCTTTTGAATGTTCGTACATGTCCTGATTTCTGTGTGCACAGTACTGCGCGAATGTATGCGTACAATTGAAATCAACTCTAGCCGTGGAGGCGATTCAGTTGGACGAACAGTAGTCACAATCACAGGCAAGCCTTTTTTCACGCGTTCGGTGCTGTTAACTTGAGAAACCGATAGTAGGACGCACTAGGCGAGATGTAAAGTAGAAGCGCAGAGAGTAATGGAGAGCATACAGGACGAGCTAGACAAGAGCTGGGAAGCCCTCCTCATGGAAACATTGGGACTTTACCTTTTCACGCCGAAATTCGAAAAGGTTCCTTCAACTGCCATGTTTTTGCAGCGAAACGCCCACCTGAGTACCCGGATGACCCTTAGATCTCTCAGTACTTCACCCGGAACTCCGGATGAGACGTGGTAGGAAACCAAGCGGCAGAGACAGACCTGTCCGGGAGAACTGCTTCCTTCGCGTGATGGATTTTGCGTGAAATCTGTGGCGCTAGGAATCTACACTCTACAGACTGATGGTGCAGGGCCTCAGCAGGTTTCGCAATGTGTAGGACATTAGTTCACCCGCTTGGAGTTCGGGTCCACTGGTTTGACGGTGTATGCCCGAATTAAGCACTACGGGGGGAACTCCAAGTTTGCCTCGTTTGTTCTAGATGCAGTCTTTCTTGATGGGATGTTGACCCCACATTGAAGAAAAAGTGACCGCTGAACGTAACGACAAAGTGAGCTTTTAGCTTATGCTGCCACAAGTTTTTTCTGAATAGAGTTTGCATTTGACCTCACCACTTCGTCTCCATTGTGTCCACCATGCATGTGGAACATCTTGCACATTCGTAACATTGAAGCGCGAAAATACAGTGATTTCGTTGAATATAGAGGCTACATTGGGGTGAAGAACCTAGTATTCCCCGCAAAATGCACCCCGACTGGAGAGAAGACTAAGGACTTCACTGCAATAGAAAAAAGGTGAAAGCCCGCATTTGCGCGCCAAAGCGACTCCCAATGCTATAAGGCCAAATGCTCGCCGCACGCAGAGCTTCGCACTTTAAGATTGCTTAAGTTTACTAATTTGGTGGAGGACAAAGCGAGCGTGGAACTCCTGGAGGATGATGGGATCTATAGACGCTGGCACTGTGTTCCAGTGCAGTCCCTTGGATTTCAAGATTGCGGCTAAAAGGCAAAGACATTTCTTTTTTAACCAGAAGTACCAAAAATGGACCGGTGCGAGGAAATTGCCGCAAGAAAGTACGCTTGTCGCACCGCTCTCAAGCAATTGTAGTAACTGCCACGACCTGGGAAGAAGCTGCGTAGGTAAGCTTGCAAATTGTGACAGAGTACAGAAGTAGGAACGGCAGAACTTCAGAGTCGCTCTTCAGAGCAAAGCATGCAATACCAGCGCAGCGAAGAGACACGAGAAAAGCTAATGGTGTAACGTACTGCTCCTGCTGCTCCTGCTCCTGCTGGAAACAGCTTCGCCAGAGGCTCAGATATTCCGAACCGGCAAAAGGAAGGCCGCCGAGTCCATGGGCATACAGAGAGACGGATCTTTAGAAGCAGCACTGGCAATGGCCGCAACTACCACACGCCATGATATGCGCCACCTGGTGATTCAATGTATACGAATGCAATAAATTAGCCACTAAACAAAACGTCCATCATATCTCGGCAACTACTTGGCATCTCTCATTAGCGTAAAAGCCTCTGAACAGGCTCGGGTCCCTGGCCGTGGCACTGCAAAATTATATATAACTCATCCGACCCTCATCAAACATTTAATACAATTGAGCTGTTATCCTGGAGATGCTTCCGTATGAGGCGTTTGAACTGCAGTTCAAGCATGACTCAAGCCGTATCTGCTTGTTTCACATGATTTCGTGGGCTTCTTTAACTGTCAGTTGAGGACCCGCGGGGAAGAGTGGTATTTCCCAAAGGCTGCAATAAAAGGCGAGTGGTTTAATTCGGCGTCTCCTGCCCCACAAAAAATCAACGCGGCTATGGACGCAGGGGACAGCTGAGTTGGATGTATTGACGTGTACAATGCATGATGTCTGCTCGTTTTCCACGTCATTGGTTGTCGGGATCTGCCACTGCGAAACATTGGTAACTCGCACCACATTTTAGCCTCCTTGTATACATAAGGAGCCTCCTTCGTCTCTACCTGGTTCCCGACCATGAGGGCAATGCATCTGACCGTCTGTATAAATTGGGGGTCGAATTCCACAAATAACAACACCGGATGCATAAGCAGAATCCGAGATATATCTATTTGGCGAGCCATTTTCTAGATGCCATTGCCAGAACTGTGAGACTCAAACTGTGCATGCTTGCGCATGCATGACTGTCACGGATAAACAGGTGCCCATAAAGTACACTGCAAACAGCGATGTATTGAAGACTAATATTTTTACTGCAAACCTGTCTTAGCTGCAATGTTTGCGCTAGTGGAAGGTGTCGTACGGCTCACGTAACTTCCTGGAGAAGCTGTTTTTGCCGGGTTGGCCGCAAGCACTGATGTAGAAGATTCTTCAAAAATTGTTCCAGCTGCGACGTTGAGCTACGATCTTCTTAACACTGCAGCGTCATTTAGAATTTTTTTCTGAGTTAAACACTTTCCCTTTTCGGCTTTTTTCGGATAGCGTGACCATATCTTTACATAAAGTTTTATATGCCCACTAAGGCCTCAGCAGAAGGCAACGCCACAATTAAGGAGCTTCGAAGAACAAAAGCTGTTAGATGACCAATTTCGTTGTATGTGGAGATATAAAGGACGCATATTGCATTGGCGTGTTCAGCTGTGTACGCAAATACATGAAACAACCAAACAAGCGTTTCAAGCAACAAAGTTAAATATCAGCAAGTCAGATATTCCTTTCTGCCAGCCTGTTCCGCAGCATTCAAAAAATATATTGGGCAGTAAAGAAGGATTAAGTGAATGGAGGGAAAAAGCAGCAACTTGCAGCTTAGGGGAGAACCGGTTCAAAAGCAAATAGCACAGGGAGACAAGACTACAATGCAAACATAACGGAGTCAATTTCCTGGAGCCGTGCGGAGGCATTTGAGCGAGTCGACTACTGTGCGCTTACCTAAAATTGTTGATACAGAAAGACCTCAACTCAGTCGCTGCGGCCAACAAGGAGTTTGAAGATACGTGGCCATTACCGAATTAAGCAAAAGCCATTAATCGGATTTAGGCCTGCTGTCACTGAACTGTCTGGAAATCAGTGCTTCGCTCCCGGAGTCATGGCCCTTTCGACAGCTCTGTGACAGGCAACTCGCGGGAACGTCTTGCACGAAACAATGAAACAAGCCATACCTAAGGAGTAGTACGAATCTTTCTATGCGAAAATTAAACAAATAAGCTCAAGTACCCTTCAATCGCTCACAGCTTGTAGTTCTCTGCTTGCAGAGGTACCAGTAGAGTTCGGTCACTGGCTGGCACAGTCCAGAAGTTCTAGACCACAAGGATGCACGACGTCTTCGCCTAGCTCTACCAGGCAAATGCTAGGCTCTCTCCCTTCGATGCCTTTAGCTTACACCCCCAGCCACTGGTACAATTTGAGTAAAATGCACAGCGGTTGAAGATGTAAGGTACAGTTTGAGTAAAATGCACAGCGGTTGAAGATGTAAACAAAGAAAGCACCTTATCTGGAAATAGAGAGAAAGGTAACTCCTTGTCTCGTCTTTTCAACGTAAAGTTGGCCTCCCATCAATCATTAATCTATGTTGTCTACGGTGTTGACGCTATCTCGAATTCATTATGTAGATTGTGCTGGTGACCAGATTTCTTCATGCAGAGGACTCACAAAACACTTCGAAACACTCAAGTCCAAATGCATGAGCTGCTGTTTCCGCAGAAACATCGATTGAGGTTTCATTCATCGAGCTAATGAGAATCAGTCTGTGTGCATCCGAGCCTGATTCAGGTTCCTCGAATTAAAGTGCCATGCATCCAGAATGCGAAGTATTATAAGCAGCTAAGCTGGTTTAATTAAAAGTATTTTTGTGTCAGACAGAGGCCATGCAATGGCGGAATGTTGGGGAGGAAGTTGCCGAAGACCGGTGCTCCGAAGGCTCAACTTTATTTAGAGACACAAGCATGGCATGCTCCCACCTGCTTTCGACGCCCGTTGGAGTTCATTGAGGTTGCTATGTTTAGATTTGGCGAAAATGACGTCTGAAGGCCGGGGTAATTTAGACCTGATGCCCTTCACGCAACTCAACTAAGCCGTCAAGGGCCGTTTCGCCGTCGCTCTTAAAACCAATTCTTTGGTATGTTACGGCTTTAATGAGCCTAACTGCGTTCTGTGGAGCGTCTGCCGACCAAGCAGAAGCTGTGGGGATGACGTTAAAGGTCAGCGCCTCCAGCAAACACTTCTACTATTCGCCTGCCCAAATCCTATATATCCTATCTCTTCCTAGAAGAACCGTTAGGCGCGAGTTGAGGCCGACATACGTACGGAGTGAGTACATCGAGGATAGCATTCTGCTGTGTAATGGTGCACAGAACTTGAAAAATAGGTCCAAAAATTTCAGACCCCCATGCTTGTTTTATTAGACGGGAAAAGCAATCATGAATACGTTTTGGACCAAACAACGGAAGCACCCGGAACAGTGCACGGGCTACGTCAGAATAAACGTCTCCCCCTTTGCGGAATGGGATCGAAAATTGTCCAGAAGAGGAAGTGGCGACGCAGGCCTGAGTCACAAGTGTCCTAGGACCAACCATTCATATGCAAAGCCAGAACCCTTAAACCCGCACGCGGCAGACCTAACCTTGTAACAAGGCGCAAATGTGATTTCTAAGCTCTAAAAGTTATGCTTTGATTACGAAAAGGCGAGCCAATGCGCAAAAGCCTCTAATGGAGCAGACAAACAAGTCGAGTGGCGGAAACTCGCGCGGGCATTTTCGCGTCCCACTGAATAGTGCATTCACTGAATGAAGTACTATACTACAATAAATTTTAAAATCTTTCCACAATTTCAATTAAAGAGAAGGCTCATCAATGGAGCTGCAACCTAGTCGTAGCAAATGAAGGTCACGCTCTCCGCTCGTGTGCCGTAGAACAGAGCGGTCTGATGTACGGTGCTGCTCCTGCATAAACGATGATGCCTTCTTGGCTTTTTTGTTGCATCAATCTGTTTCGCATTTTCGTGGTCTTTTGCAAGCACAAGAACCTAGCAATAGCGGCAGTGCACTTGTCTGCAAGGGCCAACGGTGCGCTGCTCCAGGCCAGTTTCGACGAGGCGAGTTTAACGTGAAGCTAGAAAGGTTTTGTCGGGGAACCTGGGGACAGAAGTCAAACAAGGAGAGAAATTAATAACAGATGATATACAGAGAACGGCAAAGTGTTTGGGAGGGTGTTAGGACC